AACAGCTTGGTACCAGCAGCATTCCAGTACCCCTAGATACCCTACACGATCATCAACTCAATGGTATCCATGGTATACCGACTATGAAACTACTTCATCAACAGCTTGGTACCAATTACATTCAAGTACTCCTAGATATCCTACACAACCATCAACTCATTGGTACTATAATTATACTAGTTACCCAAACAATACATCAACACCTGCCGCTACTACTGAAGACTTTTATTGGACGTCGACCTCGTCACAACATCCAAATTTGATGGGGTCTTTTCATCATTTATTTATCAACTCGTTCACAACCGTTGATATATCTCGGGCAAAAAATGTTGTGTTGCAAGGTACTATGGAACCTACGCCTTCTCCAGTTGAATTTTACTGCAGCTCAAATATGTTTCATGATGTGTCGATCAATTTAACCAACATGACTCTGACCATCGATTCACCAGGAGACTGTGATGTTACTATTTATGTATACGAACTTCAAACCATTCAGATCGGAGCTGTCTCTAGACTTAGAACATCGAACTATTTGAGAGGTAATCAATTAAAAATTGAAGCAAGTGACACATCTCAAATGATGTTAAATAATATCACATTTGAAGATGTTGAAGTTCGACTGTTAAAAAGTAGTAATGTAACACTTTCGGGTTCAACTGAACAACTCCATGTTATTCAGCTAGGTCAAGGAACTTTTGACTCTCGTTCCCTTTCAACCAATCATGCAACACTATTCACGGATAATTCTGGTTTAGTTAAAATCAAATCCAATAGTTATCTTTCATTATCAGTCGGTAGAATGGGCAATGTCATTTGGTGTTCACCTTATGGAGATATTAAAACAGAACGCACAATGAACGAAAATTCACGTAATATTATTTATCATTGTGATTAATAGTGATTAATTAATGTGAGAGTTTTTCGAGGTCTTGAAGTCAGAATAAAAACTTGAAACGCTTACCATAATAAATAAAGAAACAATATGAGAAAGAGATTGACAACGCACATGATCGTTTGAAATAAGTTTTACATACATTCGTGAAATATTAAAGACGTCTAAATGTTTCATTGAAAAGCTACCATAAAAAACAAACTACTTTAAATCTTACATATCATAGATCTGACGATCAATGCTTGATTTCTCTAGAAATTATCGTATTTTTCATGAAGAATTTCATATGGCTTTCTTTATGAATATCATACTTCAAGGTGAAGCATCTTATTTCTTATTAACAAATGAAAAGAAAAAACTTTTGTAACCATGCATTGCAATTATTAATTTATTATCAACTAGAAAATTTTATCAAACATGAAAGAAAAAAAGAATTATCTACTATCACTAGAAAATGGAAGTTTTTGTTTGGCACCTCTAAGTAACTATCACGCAACTACAAATAGTCGTTAACAAAAGAACTACTTGCTAATATTGTTTTGCATCACATTGCAGAAAAAAAAACAACAAACTACTATAATTATTATAAAAGAAAAAATGGAATGTACATTGACAGCAACTAAAAGATCTATGCTTATTAAGTCGATGTTGATAGACCATGATTGCCATTAGCTTGATTTGTGTCACTCGGTTCTGTCATTGGTGTTTCAGGTAAACAAGTTAAATCAAAATTTGCTGTTGGATCAGCCATTATAAATTGATATGAAAGCATTGAAGGCGTACATGGTGCTCGATAAGGAGCAGCTTTCTAAATAAACATAAGAAAATAGATTTTGTCTTCAACAAACAAAACAAAAAATCAAATAAAATTTACAATCTTACTGGTATATTTGAAGGTTTTTTTAAATTTAAACCAGTTGTTTTTAATATTTCTTGTTCATCTGGAAAATCATCATCATCCGATAATTGATATTCTTCATATTGTGAATTTTTATTTTTTTGTTTTGAATTACCATTCTTTTTTGTTCCATCTAATTTGGAAATTGCAAAAAAAAAACAAAAAAACAATGAAATTATATTTAAAAAAAAGCGTTTCCTTGTTAGTTTTACACACTTGAATTTTTAACTTTTGTTTCATCTTCTTCATTTTCTTCTTGTTCTTCATCATCATCTTCATCTCCAACTAATTTTTTAATATGATCTGTTATGCTTGTTCGTGTTATACCTTTTCCTTGAGAAAATAATCGACGTTTATGTGCTAATTTTTCATAATCATCATCCTCATCAATAGATGATTCATGACTAATACGCCGTCTTCGATAAGGTCTACGTGCTGGCACTGGAGGATGACCATTTTCTTCTTCATCACTAAACTTTTCTGGTTGAATCGAAGGTTTCTTTTTTGTAGTTACTGTCCGTCGTTGTCGTCGTTTAGGAGCCTTAGAAGCTTCATTTTTATCAGTTGCATTTTCAACAACTGGTGTTTTATTAACTGACTTATTAGTAGTTGGAGTTTGATCAAACGAATTATTAACAACTGGACGTTTATCAAATGTATTTTTAGCAGTTTCATTTGTACCAATTATATTTTGATCGAATTCAGTTGTTGGTTCAGTTTTTATTTTAATTCCTGATGGTAAATTGTTTAGATTAGCTTCAGAAACTTAATAAAGAAAAACAATATGAATATTTCGATGTTTGTCATAGATCAAACACGTTACAAAATAGACCTTTGGAAATCTCTCTTGTTCAGGTTCTAATACAAAAATTTACTGTTTCGATCTTGTTCATTTCTATGTTTGATTTGTTAATATGATAGAAATTGAACTCTGTCCAATGTCATAGATTGTCTTAGGGATAGACGAAGTATACTGATCTTTTCAAACTTATTCAAGAGATAATGACTATTATTTTTCTTATGCAAAATAATATATGCTTCATATTTATTCTTTTAATACAGTTTACATTAGTATGTTTAAATAACCTACTTTATATTATATAAACTATTCTCATACGTCTGATGTCATTGGCTTCGTAACCGTTCGAGAAACATTTTCTATTAGTGAATACTTCATTTCAAATGCTGTTTATCGTAAGAATTGTTATAAGCATAGAAAATTCGTTTTATTTATATGTAGAAATCAATCAAAACTGCGCAAAATAAAGTAAACTTCAGAAATTTTCTAGATTATGTACTTTCAGACATGTTTTCTTCGAAGTTATTACGCAATTATACATACGAATGCTATCTTCTTCTGATCGAATTGTTGATTTACGTTGATTATTACGATTGGGTTTTCTAAAAAAAGATATCATAAATTAATAAAATTAAAATGAGATTTTTATACTTTGCATTGGATTTCTTTTTTGGTTTTGATGATGTTGATGATTGTCGTTGACTTTTCCAAGCTGTATCATCGTCACTCATACCGAAATCATCATTATCATCATAATCTCTTGCATCACTTCGACTATCATCATTGAAAGTTCTAAATTGAAAGAAAAATATTCTATTTTAGAAAAAACTAAATTTTCTATAAATGCATACGGTTGTCGATTAGGTCGAATATCATCATAATCTCTTGCATTTCGACTATCCTCGTTTATAGTTCTAAATTAAAAGCAAAATATTATATTTTGAAAATCAATTATTCTATGAACACATACGGAGGATGTCGATTTGATAGAAAATCATCATAATCTCTTGCACTTCGGCTATCATCGTTCATAGTTCTAAATTGAAATTAAAAGATTTTATTTTAGAAGAAAAGAAAATTTCTCTTAATACGTACGGACGTCGATAAGATAGAAGACTATCATTATCTCTTGCTTCGCTTCGGCTATCAGAATTTATAGTTCTGAATTGAAACCAAAACAAAAAAAAAAGATTTTCTTTTTAGAAGAAATAAAATCTCCTATTAATACATACCGACGTCGACTAGGTAGATATTCATCATTATGTTTGCTATTTGACGCATCAAAATCATCATCAAATTCATAACGGCGACGTTTTCCTGGTTGTTTTCTTTTTATAATGATTTCATCCGAATCATCTATATTAATAAATTTTGTGAATTTAAAAAAAACAACATTAGAAAATGATGAATCTTTTTGGTAAACTCTATCCAAATAGTTTGTATGTATCAGAAGTATTGATGGATTGATCCTTTGACAGATCAATGGTAGATGTTTTCACGAGTTCAATCTGCTTACAAAATTGGGAAGCAACAATATATAATCTAGTTATTTTTTGCCAAATTATCATCATTATAATACTAGGCGAAGTTGTGTCCGCTATATGAGCATTTTTATAGCCGATATGCCAAACGAAAGTCTTATTTTTAATTATTTTATGCACGTCTAATTTTGAGACATCATGCAATGCGATCAATTCTTTTGTCGATTTTTCTTCTTTAGTGTAAAGAAAATGGTGATATAGTCGATTAATCAATATTTTCGTTCGGTTTTGACCTATACTTATTTCCAAGTATATTACGTCTGATTCTTTGAAAAGTTTGATCCATACGTAGATTGTTGATTTTCCAGTCTTAAAAGCAATTTGTTTCGAAATCTAGCGGTCACCTAATCCTTGCCCTGTAATTGTAGTATAACAATTTGCATGCCTTCACTTCTTATAATTCTCTAACGAATGAACTAAGAACGAAGTCTCTGAACTATATTTGTAGTACTGAAGAAACGAAAAGAGTCCCATTCTTTATGAACCAAGCGTCGAATATTTTACTAATAAAATTTATATTAATCCGTTGCTCGAAGAAACAAAATGTTCAACTCATGAGATGGATCGGATTAAAACATATTAGCCATCGAGACAAGTGGTATGTATTGTCTGTCTATTAACAAAGAATGATATTGACAATGTAAAGCCATTTGTAAAGGTTTTCTTAGTACATGAAAAACTCTTATATATTATGATCAAATAAAATACCTGAATCATTATCAATTAAGTCTTTATTAATTCCAGCATCAATCATAGCTTCTTTCATTTTTTTATCATAATCATCAAAAGAATAATTTTGTGCTTTTCGTCGACATGATCTTACACGACGTTTTCCTGTTTGTTCTTGTTCTTGTTCTTGATCGGATGGTTTTCGATTTTCATCATTTTTACGTCCATAAACACTATCATCATCATCATCTTCTTCTTCCTTATTATTATCATTATTATGATTATTATTATTTGTTGAATTCGTTTTCTTTTCAATTTCTTGTTCTTCTTCTTCTTCGTCTTTTTCATCGCTTGAAACAATACCATTTGTTTTATGTTCATTTGTTGGTTGTTTAACATATCGATCAAGATTAACAGCAACATTTGTTAAACGTTTTCTTCGTTTTGATACATATAATCGACGTTTCATTTCAAAATCTTTTTGATCTTTTATAAGTATAAGTAATTTTTCAACTAAACCATCACATAAACGTTTATGTTCACATAATGGACAATACCAACTGTCATTAGGTATTGATAATAATTCAGGTTTAAGACATTCTAAATGATATGCATCATCACAATCTTCACATAATAATAAAGATTCAGGATGATTGTTTTGTAAACATATAGAACATGATGTTAATGGTCTTTGAAATTGTTCATGACATTGTGCAACAGTTTTTGCTTTACGATTAGAAATGGAATCATCATCATTGTCTTCTTCTAATAAATTTCCAGTAAGAAGTTCATCTACTTCTGATTTATCAGGCAAATAATCATCGGAAAAATCATCATCATTATATAGTGGATTTTCATCAGAAGTTGATGACGAATGGTCATTCATTGATGTTTTACCACGACGACCCTTACGTTGACGACGACCATTTGTCTTAGATGATTGAGTAGGACTTTTCCATCCTTCATCTACTGATTTCTTTGTTCTTGAACTCTAGAAAAAAAAAAGTACAAAATTATACGACAAACTATGTTTGAAATAAAGGAATACAAACAGCTGATATTTATTCGTATAGAGACTAAGAATTCTTCTTTATAG